AACTTACCGGTATTTAAGCATACAGCATGGGTCCTTGCTCTACTTACATGTACATGTATGCTAATGCTACAAAAGTGTACAGAGAAAGAAAACTGAGTGAAAAGTACATGTATACGTGTACATGTACATGTACATGTACACGTATACATTTTTTACCAACTTACTAACTTGCAGTATAGATTCATTTCCTTGAATCAAACGTAGTTTCATAAGCACCCCTATTGTATTTAACGTTTCAAAACAACTTTTGTTTCAGTTCAAAGCATACACACCTATCAAAACCATTCAGATCAACGCACAGTATGTAAATCTCATCGTACAAAATCCATGTGAGAAAAGAAAATGATTTGGGCCGATTCAGAGGTTACCATATCACTATCTGACGAAACTTTCATCTAAATGAAACAGGGAACCAGTATGCATTGGCAACAGCATGATGTTCGGCTGGTAACCAATCTTTGCTAAACACTGGTGCTTAGCAGAAGTTCTACGCTCAGCGGTTCCATAAAATTAGGTCCTGTTGATCTTCACAGGGTGTTTTTATTATATTAGCCGGTTGACAATGCAAGGGGTTGTGCCTGGTCATCTTAAGCTCCTGTTGATGTTTTGGTGGGGGATAATCCCAGGCCAAAACCAGACTCCCTATTCAGGGCCGGAGCGCCCAGGACAATACGATTTGCATGCACCTGTGAGAGAGTGGCCAGACCAAAGGCTGACCACAGACAATGGTCTGACTGCCGCTGACCACTGCTAAAGATAGCTGGTGGATTAACAGCCGCTCAAGAAGCAAAAGCTTCTAGAGAAGTGTTAGCCCCATAAATCTGGCCAATTTACTGGACTCCCTCCGTAAATAAAGGCCACACTTCCAACATGTGCAAAAACATGTCGATCTTTGATTTTCACATTTAGGCGTACTTTGTAGAGTTTTTTTGCTTTAGGAGCATACTCACCCTCTGTATGGGCTAATCAGAAAGTGCTGCCTTTTTCAGAAGTCTAATTTTCGTGAAATTTCATGTTGAAAGTTCTACATGTTTTTGTACATGTTGGAAGTGTGGCCTTTATTTACCGACGTAGTCCAGTAAATTGGCCACATTTATGGGGCTAGAGAAGTGTTACTGCCATAGAAACATTTCTGACACTCACTGTAGTACATGTACCGGTAGGTCTACTCCAATTTTACAGGCATTTAGGATCATTTGCTTGACATGCATTTTGTTCGTTTCAAATAATAGCACCACTCAAAATCAAAAGAAGAATGTTTACCTCAAAACCTAACCTGTTGAAGTTTCAGCTCAGTGGATATTACACTTTTTGAGAAAACAGTGAAAAACCATGCACACTTTTTGATCACGAAACCTGATTTCATTGATGTTACTCTTTATCTCCAATGATCAGTCAATTGACTGACCACTGAAAATCACCTACATTTTTTTATTTCTTCTAAATGACAGCAAGCCAGACGGCATAATTTCACGGGGTGTTTAGTTCCAATACCAAAATCCGAGTGAGATTTTTGATAATAATTTGGTACATGTAGGTTACTTTTGGGACAAATGCAAATGATCAATACATTTGTATGTGCCTTTAATTCACATGCGTTTGAAATAGTGAGAGCAAATCATGTCCAAAGCTTGGAATATTTTGATTTGTAAAAAAAAAAATATAACCTGTTCTGTCAATATGTAGTACCGGTACATTGACAAACATTTATTTATGTGTCCATCTTCATGTTGTTGTTTTTAACACAGTATGCCATACAATGTTCAAGGCACATGAGGATACACACATGTGTATAAGGCAAACCAGCAATTGCACTTTCTCTTTCATTAGATTCCCTCTGGATGGCCGTTGGGCGGCTGCTTCAGTATTTCGCGACCGACACGACCTTTTTAACAATCCCCCTGACAATGCTCCATGTCAGTTCTATGCATAATGGTGTACAGTGTCTGAATCTCTTGTTCTGTTTTGTCACTTTTTTCTGAGGGAGAGTGTCGGTCCTTTTGGTGGGGTTTTTTTGGGGGGGCTTCCAAAGTTTTTTGAAAGGTACATGTACATAACGGTACTTGCACTACATGTACATGTATGTACTGTACTAATGCCCGGCTACTTTGTAGATGCAGCAAAAGCAAATGTTGTAGTTTAACCCTAACCCCTTGGTCTTTTTTTACTAGAAAGTATCCTGAATCTGCCAAAATCCATCAATTTTGCCATGAGATGCAAAAGAAATGTTGGTGGCCAGTGAGTCCATCAGAATCCACAAGTTAGGTGGGAGTAAATTTGTTGAGATCCTGAATCCATTAAAGTCCCCCAACTGCTCAATATGGAGGTATCCTGAATCCATCAGAAATCCTGCAGTACCACTAGGCTTACCGGTACTGTCCTGAATCTATCAAAATCCCCCAACTTTTTCAATGTGGAGGAATCCTGAACCCGCCGAAATCCTCCAAAACAGGATGGATTTTGATGGATTCAGTTACGTTAGGGTTAATGATGGTCTGAGTAAAGTCTGTTTTTTTCTCAAAAAAGTTTCTCCTCCAAAAATAGTAACTTCCCTTTGTGGATGTTGGCAAACTTCTTCCAATGGTATAACGGTAGTAACAGCCAATTTGCGTACAATAAAGTTATAATCTACACATAACGTACATTTGTACACCATAATTAACAATAATGAAAGGCCACAGAAAATGCAATAAAAATTAAGATTGCATGAAGGTCATAAAAATGAATGTTTGATTTGGTTAAATAGGATTTCAAGTGGAGCATATGGCATACATGTAGTTAATAATGGTCAATTTACTCAATTAATGTAAAAAAATACCACTAGACCACCAGGATAGATCGGCAATAGAAAGCACAAAATAGCATTTTATATTTGTTTGTCATCAACAAAGCGTATTCCCACAAAAAAAGGCATTTTTTTATCATCGTGAACAATAACACACACATAAAAATAAATCCCATTTATTGTCTGATTCTCGAGTCGACACATTTTTCGTTTTGTCACTCTGGGACAATAGGGAAAACCGCGATAAAAATACCGTCTGTTTGACCTTGTTTGGCTTGAACGCTATTCATTTTTTGACAAAGTCTGTTTTGACAATGGATAGGCCTACATGTATATTGTTATAATCGGTGGGTTTCTGACTAGATACAAACTTTGTTAAATATACATGTACAATCATAAATGTTTTATTTTTATCGGAGCTGCACTATGTGCATATTCAGTTGTTCAAAAGTCTCAAATGTTTTGGATACTTTTTGCTGGATAAAAAAAGCAATTTTTTTTATTTTGAGACACAAGCACAAGTTGCCGCCGAGGTTTTTAGTCGTTTACAGCAAACGTTAAACACAAAATAAAAGCACAAACGGGAGATTTATTTTGACGATAATCTGACACATTTTCAATGTTTTTGATATGATTCCTCAATATTGAAAATTTCGATATTTCTATATGATTAAAAAAAAATCGATTTCAAAATAGTATCGAATAATTGAGTAATATTGATGTATTCAGGATACGAAGCCTGGCAGTACCGAAGGATTTCGATGGATTCAGGACACCTCCATATTGAGCAGTTGGGGGACTTTGATGGATTCAGGATCTCAACAGATTTACTCCCGGCTAACTGGTGGATTCTGATGGACTCACTGGCCACCAACATTTTTTTTTGCATGGCAAAATTGATGGAAATTGGCAGATTCAGGACACTTTCTAGTAAAAGAGCCCAAGGGGCTCAGGTTAAACTTTTAATGGAGTGTGGAATAAACAAGTGTACCCCTTCCAAAAGAAATGTGCTAGTTTTTGAAAACCTGACACTAGTTCACACAGGCAGAAGCATGAGCCACAAAAATTGGACACGAATGAGACTAAGGCTTACTACATCCAGCAGTGTCAGAGACCAGAGACTGAGCCAATGACTGCGGCTTATCACAGTCTGGCCCGGAGCCAGAGAGAAAAGGTTCCCCAAACTTCCTCCAAGCCGGGAAACTCAAGTTAAAACAGGGCGCAGAGCGTGTTTCCGTCTAAGATTCCATGCCGTAGGGGGTGAAGGGAGGGCGTATGGGTGCGTACAGAGGGGGAATAAAAGTGTAGCGACACTTAGCTAAATGGCCACATCCATAATGTGTTAGTTGGCCACGACGGTGTGTAGTGTGTTTGTTATCGGAAACTTCCAATCATTCGTGTTCTTAACACACTAATCGCTTCTGTGGCATTCAACTGAAGAAAGGCCTTTTAAAGGCATATCTAGGACTGTTTGCTTTTCATGCGTTTTGTTCGTTTCCAATAATACCACCACTCAAAATCCAAAGAATGTTAAAAACCTAACCTGTTGAAGTTTCAGCTCAGTGGATACTACACTTTTTCAAGAAAAAAGTGGGGAAAAAAAACATACACAACCTTTTGATCACGAAACATGGTTTCGTCATTTGTAACTCTTAATTCCAAAATTCAGTCAATTGACTGATTGTTGGAAATAAGTTAGGTTTTTTTCCAACGATGGTCTGCCGACCATCGTTGGAAATTGATACAAAAATCCCACTTTTCTTGGAAATGACAGCACACCAGGTGCCACGATTTCACAGGATGCTTGAGACTGTTATTCACTTACAGTCAAGTAAGGTATTTTCATAATAATTTGGTAGTTTTGTTTTTTAATGTTTGCAAATTTACATTTAAAAGGAAAATGAACAATTTTTCTGATCATCCTCTGTCCGATTGACACTTCTCCATCATAATGAAAGTAAAATCCAAGAATTAAAAAGAAAAACTCACTTTTTTCCCCTTTGCTAAGATTTGCTTAGGCTTAGCGTAAAAAGACAAACAAAAATTTAAACGCACTTTCCCTTTCGACCTTCTAATCCGCAGGAAATACCCAAGAGCAATAAATCACCGTTTACTTTCCGTCAGAAACAGGAAAAAAGTCATTACTTCGGTGGAAGGAAAGATAAAGGCGAGAAAAAAATATCTTGTTAAAAAAATGCATTAACTTTATACTCACCAGGTGTAAACAGGGTTGGAAAGCTGGTCGGTTGACGTCAATTGCAGCTCATTTGCATAATAATGAATCCCCGGACTTTATTTGGCGTAATGATGAATGGAAGGCAACTGGTATGATCTGCGTGTTGCAAAATAAAATGGGAAATCGTTCAGAACGTTCAAATGCAACCATTCCGTACATAAACATCTTCTTTCTTTCTTTTTACTTTTTTTTTCTTTTCTTTTTTCTTTTTCTTTTTTTCCAATTAACTCTAAACCTTATCCTGCCAATTGATATCCTCTTTGCAAAATGGAGGATTTTGCAGGATTGAGGCTATATACGGCAAAAATGTGTGGCTGATTTTGGAGGATGCACTGTGTCAAGGTCTTAGGCCGGGCCTTGTGTTGTCAACTGCTCAGCCGTGCATACATAAATTTAGTCCTACATGTACCGGTAGATTATCCTAGAAATCCTCCATATTGTCTCCTATGGCGACAATGAATACATTCTATGCACTAAAAGTAGTTCTTTCAGTCAAAATCAACAAGTGACTGTTTCCAACAGTTAAGAATTCCCAGCCTACCGGTACCTACCGGTACCTTTAAAAAAAAAGTGGGTGGACGGGTATATTTTTTTCAACATCCAATGTAAACACTTTTTCCGGAAAAATCTATGATCTGGCAACAATTTTTATGGGGAGCCTAAGCGGAAATAATTGCAAATTTTACTGCTGAGCAAAAAAACAGCGGGGTACCAGTTCCAAGCTAAAATCATTGCATATTGGCTGGTAACCTGATTTTTGCTTAGCGAATATTGTCCATGCTCAGCAAATTGCTTAGTGGCTTGATGAAGCGGGCCAACACGATGACCTCTTTGAATCTGGGGCAATGGGACATCGTCCAGACCACTCAACGGTCACCCCAAGGAGGGTTGAATTAAGACAAACTTGCAGCCTGTTCCTTCCTAGGTCGGAATGACGCAGCCCCCCACCCCCCCCCCCCAAGTCTGTGATCTAGTCTGTAGCTAGGGTCAATCTCCGATATGTCTTGGGTGCTCCTCTCTCATCAAAGGGGAACGTACACCAGTTCCACCCCCTTTAGGGATTTGGGTCACGCTATCATTGTTTTCCCAAAGTTAAGCGCTTAACCCTACTATCCCTGAACACGTTTTTTTTAAGCACTATGCCAAATGCAACAAAATGCAACTTGGCTGAAATAGAACCCTGCTAAATGCAACAAATTGCAACAGTGGATTTTGTTGCATTGTGCAGTGAACCCAGTGCATACCAGCCTTGGCACCAAGCGGTTACCTTGCTAAACTGCAACCAAATGCAACAGTGGATCCTGTTGTATCACCTTGGCACTATGACCAGTTACCATGCTAAATGCAACAAGCATGGGGACTTGTGTTGCCTGCTAAATGCAACAGTATGCAACAACTTGCTACCTTTGTTGCTTTCTGTTGCATTTACAACATGTAGGGTTAGGGTTAAATCAGGGGCAAAAAAAACAGTCTCGCGAAATGGGTTCCGTGCCCAAACAACAGAGGGCGCTTTTTGACCTCTTTCGCGTGTGCATACTGGTTTGTGCATGTTCAGCGTGACGTATCCGCGCGAGTAATTTTTATTCTCAATGTGCAAAAAGCCGCAGTGTCTTCGAGCACAGCTCGACGAAAATGACAAATGACTGGCCGGCCGGCTCAAACCATAAGCTTTCCCTAGCTTGTTGACGTACGTCCATTTCCCGTGCCGGCACACAGATGGAAATAAAAATTAAACCTCGTTAGAAAATATTGAGCCCCCCCCCCCAAGATAAAGGACACAGACAAAAGTACATTTGCAAAATATGGCGAAGTTCCAGCTTTGGCTACATGGAAATATACTATGGGATTTTAATGTTCCAAGAGTAGAACACTAGACTCCCCCAATTCAGAAGCCTAAGCTGGAAAACATAGTCTATGTTTCGAAAAATCTCCCATTCTACCGGTATGTCTATCACCAATCATATTTTCTGTGTAGGCCAAAGTACCGGTAACTTACTTTATTTTGTTATGTCAGAAGGCCAAGTTAAAATGCTACAAATAACCAGTCACATTTTTTTTTTTTTTGACCAAAGCGCTTACCAATTTATGTCAGAAGCCGCAGCTGAAAGCAAACACTTAGTTTCAAAAAAAGCTCCCACATTACCAATGATATATTTTTGTGTTGACCAAAGCACTTACTAATTGTTTCGAGTCAGAAGCCTCAGCTGAAAACAAACCCTTAGTTTCGAAAAAGCTCCCATGCTTTATAATCAATCATATTTTTCCAAGTGGACCAAAGCGCTTACCATTTTTTTTATGTCAGAAGCCTTAGCTGAAAACAAACCCTTAGTTTCAAAAAAGCTCCCATATTACCAATGATATATTTTTTGTGTTGACCAAAGCGCTTGCTAAATTGTTTCACGTCAGAAGCCTCAGCTGAAAACGAACCCTTAGTTTCGAAAAAGCTTCAATGCTACAAATAACCAGTCACATTTTTTTTTGTGGACCAAAGCGCTTACCAATTTATGTCAGAAGCCGCAGCTGAAAACAAACACTTAGTTTCAAAAAAAGCTCCCATATTACCAATGGTACATTTTTGTGTTGACCAAAGCGCTTACTAATTGTTTCGCGTCAGAAGCCTCAGCTGAAAACGAACCCTTAGTTTCGAAAAAGCTCCAATGCTACAAATAACCAATCATATATTTTTTTGTAGACCAAAGCGCTTACCAATTTAAGTCAGAAGCCGCAGCTGAAAACAAACACTTAGTTTCAAAAAAGCTCCCATATTACCAATGATATATTTTTGTGTTGACCAAAGCGCTTACTGATTGTTTCACATCAGAAGCCTCAGCTGAAAACAAACCCTTACTTTCGAAAAAAGCTTTCATATTGATCGGTTGGACCAAAGCGCTTACTACATTTTTTGTGCAACAACACAAAAATATTGTGAGATTTACGAGTAGAGTACCGATGCTTTTCACCAGCGATGATGTCTGCTAATGTTGGTCATATCCTGGCCGGCGCTACCACTCACCGTTGCGTCACCGGCACTGCTGCGACAATATTATGGCCGCTTCTTCCTGTTTCTAGCTGCCAGAGAGCGCGCTCTGACAATTTACTTAATTTAGATAAAACATGGATGGAGTTGGCTCCACGGTGCACGTTTGCATGCATTTCACACTGACAGCTTTTAGCAGCGAGGTAGACCTGTGACATTTTGAAAACAGGCTTTGGACTAAAGTGGCTGGCGAACATAAAAGCCCCGTCCTAAACAGACACAAAAATGTGAAAAACAGCAAATGTGTTCAATTCTGTGGGTTATGGCATAAAATCCAAGCTCTCCTTAAAAAAAATCAAATCCTAAATATGGATTTTTCCATGGCAACCAGCATTAAAGATGATGCATTTCAAAAAGCATAAACTACTTTTTTGCACTCAATTTGGTTTTCTAGAAAAAAATTATAACAAATTCTATGCATGACTGATGAGAGACAATATGTTAGAAATGTGTATGTGGGTATGGATTGCTAATGCTACAACTACATGTATGATTCATAAAGTACTTAAAGTGCCCATGACATGAATTTTACTTGGGAACATTTTTTGGCAAGTTTCTACTCCTCTTAAAAGTTTGAAAACTGTTTGACATCCCTTTTTGGTTAATCTTATTGAAAAGTTCAATTCTTTAACCCTAACTCCCGCGGTTTTTTTTGGCTAGGATGCAACCTCAATCCTGCGAAATCCTCCAACTGCCTCCATGTAAACATTGCATACAGCCTCAATCCTCCAAAATCCTCCGTTATTTCTTGAATGTGGTTCTTGGAGGGGTGACCACTGCCTCAATCCTGCAAAATCCTCCAGCAATCACTGTCTGATGCAGAGCCGGTGACATCCCGAAGCAGTGCGAAGGAATTCAAGTACAATCGAGGCCTAAATTTATGCAAGGCTGAACATAAACAATACAAGGTCTGGCCCAAGACCTTGACAGAGTGCATCCTCCAAAATCAGCCACACATTTCTGCCATAAAGCCTGAATCCTGCCAAATCCTCCATTTTGCAAAGAGGATTTGGGAGAATTTGGGAAGGTTAGGGTTACAGAAAGAACAACCAAAAAGCAACCAAGCCTGTAGTTTTTTACTTCTGCTGTTTTTTTTTAGTCTGGAAAAAGTCACCGCGTCGTGAAGTGTGACGGATTCATACGATATGTCCACATACATCAATTGTGTGCATTGTATTATACCCTCAAGTATTAAAACCACAGCCAACACATTAATGTAAGCTACACTAATAGGCCCTGTTGGTTTTCAGCCCGAGTTCTATTTACATACATGTGCTTAGATCATAACCACACCGCGGGAAACCGCGCAGCCCACAGATCTGTAGCCTGTGGGTACATGTACAACCGCTACACATGTTCATGTTGACATGTACATGAACCAGTACTTGTATTCAGTAACTGTATAACTACATGGCTACACATTCATAGCCCAATGCCTTTGACAACCATGTCACAACTGCCGCACAAGTTATTCTGCAGGACTTGGTCCCTAGAGCCACACACACAAGTTTTTATTGTGACTGCTGCACATTGTTCAATATTTGGATATGAGGGGCGGGCACACAATACACACAATTGCCGATTGACGGAAACTGCACTACTTCGTCCCCCCTGAGCGGGTATGTGTTTGGGGGAATTTTACATGATGGAATGTTTTACATGATGGAATTTGCAGTACAAATCTCAACGTTTCAGAAATTTGTAGCGAAGTTGTGCCCAAACGCAACAAACTCCAAACAAATTCTGCAAAGAGATGGAATTTGTTATTGGAATCCCGCACTGCCCTGCAGGCAAATTTCTGAAATAATTAAAAAATTTCAGTCAATAATTTTCAGTAATAATTTTACTTACATGTATGTAACCGAATGCCAACAAAATGTGGACTAACTAAATTTGGTAAATTGGGGGCAGTGCCGTATTTGAACCAAAAAAGTCAGTTTTTTTCCCAACGATGGTCGGCCGACCATCGTTGGAAATTGATACAAAGATTCTACTTTTCTTGAAAATGACAGCACACCAGTTGTCAAGATTTCACAGGGTGACATTTCAGTCTATAATTTTCAGTACTAATTTTAAATGTAACCTATTGCAAACAAAATGTGGACTATTGTTAACTAAATTTGGTAAATTAGGGGCAGTACTGTATCTGAAAGAAAAAAAAAGTCAGCTTTTTTCCCAACGACGGTCGGCCGACCATTATTGGAAATTGATACAAAATTTCCACTTTTCTTGAAAATGACAGCACACCTGTTGCCAAGATTTCACAGGATGCTTGAGACTACATGTTTTTTTTCACTTACCGGTACAGTCAAGTAAGGTACATTTGTATTTCATAATTTGGTAGTTTTGTTTTTGATGTTTGCAAATTATATGTATTGCCTTTTAACAATCTTCTTTTTTAAAGTACAGGCTGTGAAAAAAATTGCAGAGCTTCACTCCTCGAAAAATAATGAAGGAAATCCTTTTGGTAGATGCTTTACATGTAGTAGTGTCGATCCTTGTTGAAGCTGAGTGCTGGATACGTAATGGGATAATCTAATAGACGTGATGCATGTAATTTAAGATCTGCTGGCTGGACTCGGCATTTCAAAAATTATAAGTGCATTCTTTTTTCCTTCTTTTTTTTTATTTGGGGGCGGGGGGGGGGGGGGGATGGGATGGGGGGGGGGAATGTTGTGTGCCATAACCTGGCTTGCAATGCCTATCGGACATGCTGAACTGCTGAGTAGATTAGATACCTGCATTTTCTGCTTTCTTTGACATAAATGAAGACTTCCCCTTTAACTGTAGAAATTATCATATTTATTTACAAATTTTCACATTTTTGCAATTTTTCTTTTATTATTGAGTAAAATGTTGCTTAGCCTACATTGTACATTACTGGTGTTTCAACTTTTCAGTTAAAAATATTTTCTTAAATGTCAAATGTTTTTATCTAAATTCTCAATTTCAAAGCTACAAACATCCATGTAGATTTGTACATGTTCATGCATGTTCATGTATGGTTTTCTTGTTTTGACACTGCTCTTGTACATGTACATGTACATGTACTCTAGTATCATGTCTATTCTACAGTGTTGTTTTTAAGCCTCATGGTGTACAAGACCTATCGTACATGTACATAACCTAGTTGATTTTTAATCTGAAATTTAAGTGACGCTGTTGCATAATTATCTTTTTTTTTATGCTAGCGCTGGATATGATTATGGCTGTGTGCATATTGCTTGTCGCCACCCCCCCCCCCCCCCCCCCCATTAATTGCATGGGTGGGAAGGGAGCACCAGCCATGCAGCTGTTGTTGGCAAGAGTGTGCGGGGAACCGTGCGCCATGCAAACGTGGCGCGACTCCGCGGTGCTGGGCAGGTGAAACGGATGTATAAAAAGCAGAGAGGGTTCGGGCCGCCCGGGTTCTTAATCAGATAGGAATATATTTGCAAGGCCTGCGAATTAATATGCAGGCTTGTTGGGAATGATCCGGTAGTGTAAGAACTAAGATTTTGACAAAATTTACACAAAGCAGGACTAAAATGCTGCCATTTTGGTAATTTTTTTACTTCACTGGTTGACAAATTCAGCTGTATATACTTAACCCTAACTCCTTAGGCATTTTTGCTAGGATACAACCTAAATGCATCCTGCAAATTCTCCAACTGCCTCCATGTAAAAATTGCATACATGTATGTACAGCCTCAATCCTGCAAAATCCTCCCATTATTTCTTGAATGTGGTCCTTGGAGGGGTGACCACTGCCTCAATCCCGCAAAATCCTCCGGCAATCACTGTCAATATGTTGAGGCAGAGCCAGTGACATCCTGGAGCAGTGCAGAGGATTTTAAGTATCATCTAGGCCTAAATTTATGCACGGCTGAGTATAAACAACACAAGGTGTTACGTTTTGTCGTCTTCATCGTCACTTAACCCCAAAATTTCCCTCACAAACAACAAAATTAAAAAGCCTGCCCTCTATCTGCGGCATACATCTTGGTTTGTAATGTCGCTAACGTGTTTGGTAAGTCCAGTAAGCTAAAAGGACTTTTGTTCCCTTACAGGCAACATAACCCAACACTACACAATCGCCAGCTTGCTTTGCATGGGTTTTGGCTTCAGACAGCCATATTAATGCATTATTTAGCACCCTTGTACTGTGTGCGTTAACATTCATGGACATGGCACATGGACGAGCGTTACCTCTCAAAAATTTACACGCGAATGATCCATTATTTATCTTCAGTTTTCTCACTTCAGCAGGCTTGTGTAGATAATGGATCAAACTCTCTCTCTTGACTGATCATGGGGATGAATGGATATATTACAAGAATCATACGAGGAGAATGATGGTAAAAGCTTTGACGTTACAAGTAATTTAAAGACATAGTCCATCATTTGTAATTTGTGCATTTTGTTCGTTTGAACCAACAAAAGTGTTCAAAATCTAATGAAGGATACTGAACAACTAACCTGATGAAGTTTCAGCTCAGCTTCAGCTGAATATTTCGAGAAAAATAGCATTCTAGGATCTCAATTTAAAATCAAAAGTTGCTAAATCATGTTTTAAATTGTTTTGAAGTGCAGCTATACGGGATGTCGCGCACTGATCCAACGAATTATAGCAACCGCGCGGGCCTGTGCGTCGTGCCAATGCTTGCCCGCCCTGCGCCGAATAACAAAACGAACTACTAATTTAAATTTTCCTACGGTGTGTCTTAAGACGCACGGTTGGAAAGGCCTTCTTTCGTTGATTACTTAAAAATGATAGCTTGCCAGAAAGATTAATTTCACAGGGAGTTTAGACCACTTACTATCTTTCAACCAAGTATGTTTTTCAATAATAAAACGCCAATTACTTTTTCGGATGGCTGCAAATGATGGACTATAGCTTCAACAGCGTTACTAACTTGACATTTCTTTTGACTACTAGTGCTGTGCATTTACAGGTACATGTACATGTACTATGTACATGTAGTACAGAAACCGGGTACCCTATTGAAGTAAAACATTTTCAGTTTTTCACACCATTTTCAAGGAAAAATCTCAGTTGTGCATGTAACTGTTATTTTCTAAACCCATCCCTGGTACCCGGGTGCCTGTAACAGAATTCCAACCACAAAAATTCAAATCCTTCAAGTTGTCTGAAGGGCTTTGTAGCTTTACCTGTTTATGGTGTACACTGCAACTTTTACCATTGTCATCATCTACTGGCCTACAGCCCTAATGGTTTCACATATGGAAGCCCAAAAAGTAACTGAAACAGGCAAAAATTAAAAGAGTATTGAAAGTGTGTATGTACTTCCCCAACATTTGCAACAAAATATGACTCCATTCAATGAACTGACCTAAAAAAAAAATCCAATGTTGGACAACATTCATTGTCATACGTCTAACCCTGAATCACAGGAGAAACGAAGTGATGAATTGTCCAGCAATGGCCTACAAACAATCACATTTGTTTAAACTATCCAGTAGTTCTATGTCGGAAAACATCAACCTTTTTGTTTTCCTAATTTTTGTTCCCCCCCCAAAAAAATTGACTAAGCCTATTTGCACATCTAGGTCTTACGTTAGTTATTCTAGGGGCCTACTAAATTTCCGCAATATCGCAAGACTAAAATTGCGAACTAGCAACTTCTGTTTCAAGTTCCACTTTAGTTCTAGGAAAAAAATAGTTTCCCACATGATTTTCAATTCAGGTACATGTAGGCCCTAAAATAAGGCCAGGGATAACATTTTGTAACCTGACGCCTCTTTCTTGCACCATCTCAATGAAGGTCAGTCACTGCAAAAAGATGATTAGACATGAATCTGGGACTTAAAAACATTTCCAACTTTGTTAGAATAGACTTTTCTTGACTGTCCATAGACAGTGAATTTGTACAAAGTCGCGGAAGTGGCGTCAGGTCATGCATGTTGCAAAATAAAATTTCGGGGAAAAAATGCATATCTGCAAAACAGGTAAAATAAGAAAAGACCAAATCCATGGACTTGTGCATGCATGTCAACTTAGTTTCAACTGTGAAAAATTCCAAAAATTTGAGGGGGAGAAAAAACCCTATTTTGCCTAAATTTAAATAACTGTTCAAGACTCCTCTTGGTTTTTTTAAACACAACCTAAATAGTGTAGGGTCTGAATACTTCATTCTTTCCAATCACGTTCTTTCTGATAGAGCACTTTCTGAAAAGACCAAATCCATGGACTTGTGCATGCATGTCAACTTAGTTTCAACTGTGAAAAATTCCAAAAATTTGAGGGGGAGAAAAAACCCTATTTTGCCTAAATTTAAGTAACTGTTCATGACTCCTCTTGGTTTTTTTTAAACACAACCTAAATAGTGTAGGGTCTGAATACTTCATTCTTTCCAATCACGTTCTTTCTGATAGAGCACTTGGTGTACATACCGCACAGGTCAAGGGCAGTACCACGTACTGTACTGCACAAAATACGCACACAGAAAATGACAGCTTCCCTTCAACTGCACTGCTGCTGTCGTGCAAATTCTTCCGCACCCCGAGCGGGCGAAAAATGCAAACACCAAAAAAATCCACAAATACCAGCTCCGAACCCACCCAAACCTCCCCCTGTCAACCACCACACCCTACATCATTCAAACAATCCAGAAAATGAGCTTTTCTCACCTGAAAATGCGCAGAAAATGTTGCATTCCCTGTGCGTTTTTGCCGTCATGGCGTAGCCACGGGACAATCTTCGGTCGCCATCTTGAATAATTTACAAATTTGCGATAGCGCGGACTACCCACAATACATCGCACCACATCACAGATAACCATGCAACTACCGTTTTATGTCTGAAAAAAAGTTTGATAGTTTAAAAATAAATATTTTTATCCCATATTTTGTATTCACCATAACAAAAGATTGGTTCCTTTTGTTCAATAACTCGTCCAATATATTTAAATTTTATGAGTAAGAGAAATGGAGAAAGGTATTTTAATTCTTTTGACTAAATTTGTTGCGATTTTTAAAGAACTTCATCAAAGAAAAATTGCGACATTACCTATCGTAGTGGATTGAAATTTCGCCTATTGATTGGTATTACACAAGCTATTTCGTCACCGACAATTAATTTTTGTCATCACGGAGAAAAACCTGCCTAAAAATTAATGAAGTCACAGTCTATCAGCAGTATCGACAGAAAATCTGCCTAACTATTGAACACGCAGAATGACACACGTTCTTGGAACAATAACCTAAATACCTGTCGTACTAGATTGAAATTTCGTAAAAAGCCTATGAAGTATTAAAACAAACAAATGTTGTCGTATTGGTATTATTAGTACAACAGATATTTAATAAGTTATTGGTTCAGGAACGTGTGTGTGTAATTGTGACTGCGATTCAATAGTTAGGCAGTTAACGTTTTAATCCGTAAATGACAAACATTAATTAAAAATAATAACACACGCGTTGCTGGAACAATAACTTATCAAATACCTTTCGTACCTGATTGAAATGTCACCTAGTGGTTGGTCATGACTCGTAAAACAAGTCTATGAAGTATTAAGACAAACAAAATGCTGTTGTCACCTTAAATAACAAAATCTTAATCAGCCGACCTACAAGTACATGTAACAGAAGGTCCAGGCCCCAACACAATATTTTTTCAGGGGATTTGTTTTATCAAGGTAATACACTTACAGGCAGATTATTATAGAATCATACACAATGTTCAGATTAGGTTGTGTTTGACGTTTATCGTGTTTTCTGTCTATTGGGGTTGAATTTTAAAAAATGAAGATGCATACAAACATGTATTTCTTTGAGACTTGCAGGAAAAGATAGGCAGATAATACTATGCTGCAAAGTGACATAGAGAGGGCGCCCTAACAAAAATACGGACAGGTTCCAGAAGCAACCTCTTGTCCACAGAATATTGAGCCGTACGCGCCCACCACCACCTGCTCTATTAGAAACGAACTTGGAAATAAAGTAAGCACTGGGGACGAGGTTGCCCCGAAGTTACTTAAAATAATTCGACGTATTTTAAAAAAATTAAATTGAAATTAAGGTGAAATCAAATTGTCAATAGTAAATTATTCTTCATTTTTGTGCTTAAAGTTTTGATGTGGATTTTTGTCATACAAAAAAAGTTATTTGTTATCTTTTATATGTTGTGTATGTAGTGTTGCATAAACACGAGGTTATTATATAATTATAGGCAATCGATCGAGGAATGATTATAGGTTCTTGTAGAAGTAGAAATGTACCTGCAATCATAGTTCATTTCAAATATGAAACTATAAATTTAGTAAATTAGATGCTGGAGAGCAAGGCTTTAAAGAAAGATATACATGTACCAGAAATTAATGAAATTCATTGATTAATTCAATAACAATGTAAAGAAAACTGTTTATAATAAGAAAAAAGTTGAGTTTTCGTTCTTGTTTTTAACTTTGCACAAATCGGTACTTTTCCAGGTCATTTTGATTTCTAGTTGATTATTATTTTGTTTTCGCATGTATTTTTGTCAATTTGAGGAGAGTAATGTATCACCTTTCCGTGTGAGTTTTGTCCTCTATAAAAACTAAAAGTGCGCCCTCTACAAAAAATACCACAAGGCTTACGTGCAAAAATTAAATAATGCCAAAAACCACAGATGGTACATGTCTGACGCGGTCGGGTTTCGTAGAAGTGCTCACATTTTGTCTCCGTTTCTCTCTGAGTGAAGAGCTCTTTTCCAGAAAGGTAACCCATTGATTACTTGTGATGCAATTATGCATGCCTTTTTCTCCCGTATCTAGCTGTAGAAATGTAGCAATATGGCCGAACTTTTGTTACAAAGAATCTTGCTTTACGCGTGTGTATCGTACCGGTACGGTAGCAGCTCCATTCTTTTGACATGTTTGAGTGACCGATAAACACATTGCAGCCGGCGAACGCGTGACGCGTTGACGGCATTTTGCCCAGGATGTAAGGCCTCGAGAGTGAGAAGGACACCTATTGATTACCTTTGAATTGTTGAGTGTTTACAGTCTTTTGATGGTTGCAAAGGCTTTGCGTCGCGTCGTACATTCATAAATAGTAAAGTTAATCCAATTTACGCAACAGGACCCCACGGAGACGGAGATCATGTACCGGTACTAGTGCAGCCTGCATGCAGGGCTGGGGCCGGGCCCTGTACTAGTTTCGGTCAAATTAGAGTCAAGTTTTTTTTTGTATCATTTTTTTTTTTGGATTTTCAGTAAAAGCAGACTTCTCTCAATTCTATTCTAACATGTCTAATGACACCTCTGTAATCCGAAAAATATTTTCCGAATTTCAGCTTTGAAATTGTTGCAAACGCTTGTGTTACTATCACCAGGGTAACTTTTGACTCGGATTTCGCAGTGCCAAGCAAAACGACAGAACACCTATTGATTTTCTTGAATTGTTGAAGTATTTACGGTGAGATTTATCTTGATAGCTCTGTCACAGTAAGGCATGTACCCTGATACACGTACTTCTATTAAATTTCTCGAAGTACCGGTAGGCTACATGTACAATACACACCATGTACAATACACACCAATTACCATTGAATTTTTTGGCCCCCCCCCCAAAGGAAATAGTGACTCACTCATGTAATTTGGTTCGCTTTTGATCTTTGTAATATAATAGTAGTGATCAATATAATTACTTTTTGTAATGACACCTCGATACTACTTTTTGTCCAGTTTTAAAGGGCCCATGCAATGTAATTTTTTTTAATGCAATCCTTAAAAATGCAATTTTTTGTCCCATTTAACCTGATTTTTATTTTTGAAAGGCCATTTTCAAGGGTGTTTTAGTGCCTTGTGTGGTTTTTATGCTATTACAAGTTTCCATATTCATGAGCAAAACTGTGATGTCATTCCAGTCAGAAACCTCAATGTTACAGCTACTACAGCACAAAAAAGTTGCTAGCTTTCTTGGTATTTTGCTGTCGTCAATTTTCCTTTCTCACAAATGTTTTCAATTAGCAAAATTTGGGTTCACAATTTGAACAGAAAACCCCTGAACTGAACAGTGTCTTCCTGTAATGACATCAAATTAAAGAAATGTATTTTTCAATAAAGTTAACCCCAAAAGGGATGTCAAATAGTTTTCATACAAAAGAGGAGTAGAAAGTTGCACAAAATGTGTGTTCCTATGAAAAATCCATCGCATGTACCCTAAAAAAAAAGTTTCTTTAATTTTTGTTTTAAACTTTTTATTTGTTCATATTTTTTTAAATGTTTTTTTCACTTCATGTAACCCATTCATTTATTTCAATAATCCAATTAATATAGAGATTCACTTTAACAGAAAATCTCAAAAATAACCTTCCATCTTTCTTCCATAAAAGATAATTCTGTGAAAAGAAACAGAATAAAATAACAGAAATTTGTTAAGTCAATAAGTTCCCCTCCCCCACAAAAAAGAGCCATGCTCATTTTTTCAAATGCTATCTTGCACCATCTATTTGTTTGAGGTAAATTGAACAAAATAATAAGTTAAATAAATTGGTGACCTTTCCAAGTTATGTACAGATTTTGAGGAAAAACATTTTTTTTTTTCATACGCTTGCACATTCTTTTTCAAATTAAATTTACCTTAAATTGTCTCGCTGTGTCCCATAATTACAGCATTTTTCTATTTCTTGTATTTTGTCTGGCGTGAAATTACACCTGCCTGGAATAAATTTGGTCTAAATAGATTTGCGGTTGAGAGCATTTTTACCTTCAATCGATCCATATTCTCTGGAAAGACTCTAGGCACATCCGGCGTACGTGCAGATTATGAAATGAAAGGTTTACGGTCTACATGTATGGGTCACTTACTGTCAGGAATTAGTCATTCATACATTGAATATTAAAATGCCTACAGTACACGGTGACCCCAAAAAATGAAACCCTAAAACATTTGCCCTTTAAAAAAAATCGGATCTGTGGATTTTTATATTTTGGGTATCAGATCAAAGCTGAGACCTTTTTCTTTCAAATACTGAAAAAAATCATGAAAATAGCACTTTGGGTTGCTGAGAAAAGGCCAATTATGTAAAAGTAGTCATTTTTCATCCTGTACACAAATACTTCAAACAGTGAAACATTTTGCTCTAAGCCTACATGCAATTATTATTCATTTATGCAATTTCTTTGGTATTTTGTGATATTTATCATGCTGAAAGGGTTTAAAATAGGACTAAAAGGATGAGACACCTGTTCAGGTGCAAAATAAAAGGTACCGGTATTTCCATCAAATTAATTTACATTTTATGTGCCATGTTGTTTGTAAGGATTAGGACATGCACAAATATGTGGGTACAGTGAAAATCCCTTACCATAATTTTTGTGTGTACGGTATCAAAAAAATTACTACTTTTGCATAATTGGCATTTTCTCAGCAACCCAAAGTGCTATTTTCAAGATTTTTTCAGGATTTGAAAGAAAACGCTCTCAGCTTTAATCTGATACAAAAAACATAAAAATCCACCCATCCCTTTTTTTTTTAAAGGCAAATCTTTAGGGTTGCATTTTTTGGGTCACCCTGAAGACTTTCATTTTTCAATGAATTGCTGCCAAAAAAAGATTTGGAGGTTGACTTTGAAATAGCTGTAATGTGTTCTCTCTAAACCCTAACCCTAGGCCCCTTCGGCTAGGATTGATAAGAACCATCCTCAATCCTGCAAAATCCTCCAATTGCCACCATACGTGTACATTGATTCGGCCTCAATCCTCCAAAATCATCCGTTATTTTCTTGAATTTGTTCAGTGGAGGGGTGACCATTTCCTCAATCCTTCAAAATCCTCCAACAATCACTGTTAATTAATGACATTCAGAAGCACGTCCATCCCTGCTTTTTCATGACTTACTAAATCACCCTTTTTCTCAGATTTCAAATTAAAATGTAGAGACTGATAATTATGTTTAGTCTGTAAGCATGGTAAGTGCTTCTATTTTAATCATATGTGGTTTCCATTTTCGCACAATCAATCGTTGAGCAGAAAATAAGCGTCTTTCTGGCAAAGGATTGATTAGTTTTTTCCCCCGGACAAAATCTCAGTCCTTGCTCGCAGATTCCAATAACGCTGAAGTATGGGCACTCTCGAAGATCGGCCTCGAAATACGATACCCCCGAAAATTGCGTCTAGGTCGGCATTGGTTGTGAAGGGTACGGTATATGTACATGTAGCTCTCCCCCGCTCAATTACTGTTCTGAAGAGGGTGCGTGGTACGCCGTTGAAAATGCGTCATCGGAGAAATGTTGATCAATAGGAAATACGGTAGACTAAAGTCAGAACGTGCTCTGAGAAATTACAACAAAATTATACAGTGATGCATCATACTATTGCTTATTTTTAAAACAGAATTATGGTGCTCTAGTGAAAGTCGAATCTTGACTAAGCTAAAGATGGTTTTATAGAAAAAAAGAAAACATTAATAATGTGTACATTTTGTGTGTGCCCTCCTTTTATAAAAATTTTAAATTCAATTAAATGACAAATAAAGCTTTTGGATTTGTTTGTTCACAATTTCAGTCCAATGTCATGAATGTTGACATTTGCTAATTTGAAACAAATTTTGGTCATATCCCCCCCCCCCAAGTAAAAAGTTACAAAAGATTGTGTGCCCCTTTATTGTAATTCCAATGTTAACATTTACCGTCCTTTTATTGGATCAGTCACAGACAGTAAAAAAAAATCAATTCTCTTCCCCTGCCATGCCTTTTACACAGGCTAGTCACCAACAGTCAGATCATATTTCAAGCAAGCACTGTGACAAATCAAATTCAGTCAACAGACAAAAGCAGGCAAGTGGTAGGCACAGCTGGCTTATCAATCACCTACAGGCAACGCATAGCTGCAGGGTTCGACTTTAACTTTTTTGTTCACCAACCAGCCGGGCTACTGAAACAGACTCTTAACTAGCCTGGGGGCATTTTCACTAGCCCGCCTTTCTTTGTTGGCTCAAATACAAAATGCCGTATTTTCAGGCTCAATTCTGAGGCAATTTTGTCAGTGTTTTTAATAAACAGAACTAATAATTTAACCATAAAATTAGACACAAATTGATGAGGCTTTCTTTCTGAATTTAATAATTTGTTTCTCCCTGTCCGTTCATCTGTGCTGTATCCCAATACTTTTTTGTCTCGCCAGCCGGGCTACTTAAGGAATAGTTTGACTAGCCCGCCGCTGTTTTGACTAGCATTTGGCTAGCGGGCTACCGCTAATTTCGAACCCTGAGCTGTTTCAAATGGTATGGCACAGCCAGTCAATCCTACTTTATTTAGGCTGGGAGCTCTTAGTCTTACATTGGGCCTGTCAAAACAGTCACTTGATTGATTTTGACTGAAAGGACAACTTTGCACAGAATGTTTGTTTGCATAGGAGGGTTTTAATTATCTCAAGTTACCGGTAGATAGGTCTGCTTAAATACAAATATGAACCGGAACTCAAGCCTAAATTTTCAAAACTTTTGTCACTTAACCCTAACAGACCTGGATCCTCAAATTTTAATATTTTTTTCCACACATTTTTTGATCCAATACACTTTGATTAAAACAAAATTTTGGCCATTTTAATATGTTTTTTAAATACATGTACATGTATGTACTTAAAGATCAGTAGACAGTATTTATAAAGACAATTTTGGACCGTTTCCCCCCCCCCCCCCCAGCTGAGTAATAACAACCTCGACTCTAGCCCTGTCCTTTGATTTGGACCAGCGCCAGTATTTTTTATAGAAAACTGTCTTTTATTTGAGGACAAGTCTCCTCCCCCACTTTTTTTGAGGGCAATCGGCCTTTGTGTCACTGTGTGTATTGAGCTATGGAGAATTGTTCCCTAGTCCAGCAAAACAGCATGTCCAGTTCTTGCAAGGTGGCTTGTTTGACAGTGTTTGAACCATGAGTAATCTATCCCATGCATTCAATGCGTGATCAGAGGAGGGTCACTGTGGTATATGTACCAGTATTTGTATGGCCTGTGTATTGCTGATTGTACATGTACATGTATGTATGTTTAGGTCGTAAACTATGGAATTTCGCTGCATTATAAACATCCTGACCAGATCTGCTTGTTTATAACCATTATATATGTCTTGCTTTATATTTTAGCTGACCCTCCTGCTATTTAAACAGTCACAGACAGTCAAAATTCCACTTCCCTGCTATACTTTTAACAAAGGCTAGTCACCAGCAGTCAGGTCATATATATGTCAAGCAAGCACTGTGACTAGTCAAACTGGGTCAACAGACAAAGCAGGCAAGTTGTGGTCACAGCTGTTTTATCACTCACCTGGAGTCAAAGCATAGCTGTATCAAGTTGCTTAAACAGTCCCAGCCAGTCAATCCTGCAGTATATGTACATGTACCGTAGGCTGGGAGTTCTTAAATGTTGAAAACAGTCACTTGTTTGATTTTGACTGAAAGGACAACTTGGCACAGAATGTGTTTGCGTAGGAGGGTTGACTTACATTGTACACGGGTAGCATATCGTAAACATTTCCTGTACAGAACAGGTAGTTGTTGTTTCAAAGAGAAAAAGAAAGCCACACATGTAATGTACATATACAGAGCATGTACATGGTTAAATTAACATTCCACTCAACGTATTTTAAAGGTATTGTTGATGTACCCCAACGTGGCGCAGCCCCAACGTGGCGCACTTTGATTTTTCGCCCGTAGCATCTAGCTAGAGCAAAATTTTTATCTGAAATTTCACAGAAAGTGAAATTTCATCAAGTTCTAGGCACTGTTGCCAAAGAGGTTTGGCAACACTACACGAGGAAAGTTGGGTAAGCTTTGAAGTGCGCCACGTTAGGGAACATGACTATAATGTCTTGTAAGCACACAAGGTCTGTTCTGTATTTTTTTAATCCAATGAATTCAGTTCTCGCCCTTCACTTGAACCAAATCTTTGTATTCTGAATAAATACATGTCAAGTGGCACACAACACCCCCCCCCCTGCCCCCCCCCCCCCTCACTATGATACCCAAATTCCCCCTAGGCAGGTACAATACATGTAACAATGTAATCGACTGTGGCTGTTTTTTGTGTCTTTTCAGAGCCGTCTACCGTGCAGCTCCCCCAAAAAGCATTCCTGACATCTTCAGTCGACCACGACCAGAAGTGCCCAACACCGACCCTAAATCATTGCCATTACAAAAGCCCTAGAACTTTGTTCAATTCACATCCAGTTTTCGTCTCTATACTGGTAGCGATCCGGTCAGACCAGATTTCCTCTGTCCTCTCCATTTCATCGTGCTGGCCGTTTACGCTAGGACACACCGTTCCCCAGAAACAATGATCCCCGATTATTTTGAGAAGCTACTTCAAGTTATCATCAAAATATTGGACTAGCATTCCTCCGGGATTAGCCTCCCCCGGCAAAACTTGAAGAACATTTTGTAGACTTCGACGTAGAGCCTTTTTAAAAAAAATAAAAAATCCCTTCCACTTCTCAGCCTTTTTCTCGGCGTGACTGCTGTTGCAAGTCAGGTAAGTTATTTTTTATTATGATTTTATTTATTTACAGAACATTAATTCCTTAATCGTAAATGTTAGCGAGTGTGACAGAGTGTGTCTCGTAACCAAAAGGGCAGTTTTGGGCCTTTAACAAAGATCAGCAAAATTAAAATCGAAAATTATGTACATGTACATGTACATGTACGGTACATGTATGCACAGAAATTTTGTGCAGATTTTTTTCGCAAGTAAAGGTGTTAATGATCGCATGTGAACTGTTACAAATTACCGGGTTTACAATCTGGGTCATTCTATAAATTTGGGGTCCAAAGTGTGACATTTTTCCCGTCCCTGTTACCTTGGTACTTTGTAATTTGCCATTCAAGCATCATTAAAAGTGACTTCAAATGATTGTTTATTTGTTGGGTAGGTAGTTTGCTATTCATAATCACTCTTGGAGGATGACTGCATTAAGGAGTGCATCAGAATTATACAATCATAGATGTCAGATGTAACAGGGACGGGAAAAAAAGTGGACCCCAAATTTATAGAATGACCCATCTACATTTTACATTGAGTACAAATTTACATTTTATTCTACATTTGTACAACAGTACATGTATTGTACATGTAAAGTGTACGTACGTAAATTTAAGTCCATGTATGCATCGTCCTCAAAAAATTTCACTTAGTCGCTTTACGTGTATGTAAATTAGGTTCCTGTGTTTGTTTGTTTGTTTGGTTTTAATAAAAACTGACAGAGGCTGTATAATCCAAGCCAAATCTTTCTCGAGGCCATACATGTACTTTTTTTTCATGTAAACACAGCTTATGATTTATGTACATTGTAGGCTTACAAGATAACAAACATTTATCATTTTTGGGAAGTTACCAGGTTGCAGTGTGTGCTCTATATTGAGGTGAAGGATCGTGACCTCAGTCGTACATGTACGTGGGACCTCTGTACAAAAATATTGATATTAAATCAAGGATACCGGTACATGTACATATACCGTATTGGTATCTGTACATGTATGTCAATTTTGGTTGAAGGCTGTTATTGTCAAATTAAAGCCATCCTATTTAAACTAGTACACTTGAGTTTAAAGGTAGAGTCCATCATTTGTAATTTGTGCATTTTGTTCGTTTGAAGCAACAAAAGAGTTCAAAATCTAATGAAGGATACTGAGCATCTAACCTGATGAAGTTTCAACTAAGCTTCAGCTGTACATTCCGAGAAAAACAGCATTCTAAGATCTCAATTTCAAATCAAAAGTTGCTGAATCATGTTTTGAATTGTTTTGAATTGCAACTATACGCGACGTCGCGCACTGATCCGACGAATTATAACAACCGCGCGCGCGTGTGCGTCGTTCGAATACTTGTGCGCGCTGCGCTGAATAACAAAACGAACTACTAATTTAAATTTTCCTACGGTGCTTCTTAAGAATCACCGTTGGAAATGCCTTCTTTCGTTGATTACTTCAAAATGACAGCTTCCCAGAAAGAATAATTTCACAGGGAGTTTAGTCTCCTTACTATCTTTCAACCAAGTTAGTTTTTCAACAATAATTACGCCAGTTACTTTTCGGATGGCTGCAAATGATGGACTCTACCTTTAAAGGGAAAATACAACATTTGCAAACATCGAAAAATAAAATGACCAAGTTTTTACGAAATACCTTACAGGATGTTGGTAAATGACAGTCTAAAGCATCCTGTAAAATTATGGCACCTGGTGTGAAGTCATTTCAAGAATATTATATTTTTGTTTACATTTCCAACGGTGGTCGGCCGACCACCGTAGGAAAAACCTAACTATTTTTCACTACTGCTCCAAATTTACCATTTTTTTTCAGTCCAATTTTGTTTGCTAATTGGTTTTATGTTCATGAATGGGTGCAGGTCAGCTAGACTGGTTCCCTTAGCGTACAATTTTCCGGCATCTATAAATTGATCCATTTCATCTTCAGTGGAGTCAGGGAACCAGACTAATTGAACAGTTTTGTTTTTCTTGGTTTTCCAGCATTTTCGAAAACAAAACTTCAAGCATGTCAGTGTAACAATAATTTGATCTATTATACTAACCCCTAAAATAGTTCATTTCTGAAAATTACAGCATAAGCCAATGATGTACATGTTGTACATTCCCTTTAACCGGATAACCCCAAGGTCCTTTTGGCTAGGAACCATCCTCAATCCTGCAAAATCCTCCAGTTGTTACCATGTAAAAATTGGATTCAGCCTCAATCCTCCAAAATCATTCATTAATTCTTGAACTTGTTCAGTGGAGGAGTGACCGTTGCCTCAATCCTTTAAAATCCTCCAACAATCACTGTTAATGGGTTGAGGCAGTGCTGATTACACTCAGAAGCAGTGCGGATGATATGGAGCATAATGCAGGGCTCAATTATGCATGCCTGAACATAAACAACGCTGGGTCACGATTTGTGGTTTTTAATAAAATAATAATAAATAATAATAAAAAAAAGATTGAGAAGGGTTAGGGTTAAAACCATCTTCAGAATTCAATTTTTAAATCAAAAAAAAAAAATCATTTGGACATTTTTTTTTTATTAGTAATAAATCTCCTCTTCAATGTTGGCTGTTTATTCAATGTTCATAACCAGCTTTCAACACTTGGCAGGGACGATTTCAAAATGTGCTCAAATTTCCTTCCCCGTTCTTCGATTACCTGCCAACTCAGTCAGACGACGTTGATCAATTTGTGAGCTCGTCCTGGTTGTTGGGGGGGGGGGGGGGGGGGGGGGGAGAGGTCTTATTACCGCGGGGAAAATTCTGCGAAGAGATGTTATGATAATGCGAACCAGGTCTTGCGATAGCAGTCATTATATGGATTGTACATGGCGTATTCATTCATAGCCGCATCTCGTATGGTGAAATATAATCTGGCTTGTCATAACTGGAGCAGAAACATGCCGGGGGCCAACTTCAGGGAGAAGGCTATTAGCAGAACAGTTTATGCGCTAAGCGGAAAACCGCTCGGAACCAATCACTAGCGTACACATTTATTTAATGGCTAAGCTAGTGGCTCACTATGTTCCAGACGAGGATTAAATCAGTTTAGGCCAAAAAAATAATACTTCAAATTCCGGTTACCCTACCTACTGTATTTTTACAGCTGCTACCCAATTATTTTTTTGGGGGGGGGGGGGATGGGGGAAAAAAACAGAAAATCATCAATTACTACCTTTTACCCTTGACTACGCGCAGACACCTCCATATGATTGTACACACACAAAAAATGCCCCCTCCAAAAAAAAATAAAAATTCCCTACCTTTTTTCAAATGCCATGTAATCGGAAGCAGAACTGCCGGTATTTTATTTTTGGCCTTAACTGTCAAAACGTCGTGCAGTGTTACTTGTGACTCACTGGGTTCCCGTCCGAATTTTGCAAATAATTTTTTTAAGCAGATATGGCAAGACCATAATTTTAGGCCCAGATGATCGCTGTAGTGTGTAATATCCTGTTGACCGTAAAGAATTCATCCTGAACGCCACCTCACCGGATCCGCATTCTTGGGTTCCGGTGACCTGGAAAAAAAAATCATGGAATTTCGTTTTCAATTTCCAGGCCTTCTACCAAAAATAGGGGCTGCCATTTAGGTTTCCTTTTTTTTTTTACTCGCCCTGTACGTGGACTGTGCATTACTTTATTTGTCTATGGTAATGCCTGCTTTCGCTACCGCTGTTCATGTCGTCTTTAATTTCTACTCAGCACAGCTCCATATGGTGCATAGCTCTACATCTTTCACAGCGGCCAGTTTGCATACCGAGACAAGTGTGTCTCGTCTGTCAGCTCTTGACACATTGAACAAAAAAGTAGTGAGCCTGACGTGTTTGACTCCGTTCATAAACTGCTGAGGGCGCTGTTGTTTTATTATTCTATTAAAACTCCCTAGGCCTTTTTGCTAGGATGTACATGTAGCCTCAATCCTGCAAAATCCTCTGATTGGCTTCATGGAAAAATAGCATATAGCCTTAATCCTGCAAATTCCTCCATTGTGTCTTGAATATGGTCCGTGGAGGGGTGACCACTGCCTGAATCCTGCAAAATCTGCAATATGTTGAGGCTTGGCCAGTGACATCCTTGAGCAGTAGGGAGGATTTCAAGCATAATCCAGGCCTATATTTATGCATGGCTGAGCAAAAACAACACAAGGTCCAGCCCAAGACCTTGACAAAGTGCATCCTACAAAATCAGTAATGCACTTTTGCCATGTAACCTCAATCCTCCAAATTCTTCCACTTTGGCAAAGAGGATTTTGAAGGATTCAGGGCGGTTAGGGTTATCCGAATTGGAAAATAGTCAGTGTTCAAAACAATACTTTTACAAACCATTAAAACCCTACAGGTCAATTTCAGGTGAAGGTTTTAACCCTTGCTCCCTCTAAAGGCATTTTTGCAGGAAGGTCGCTCGTTATAAAAACAAAACAAAACATGAGTTCAGGCATGCTTACCCGATAATTTACAAATATTTACCCAAATTATTCCAAAGATAAGACAGATCGTAAAAACAAGTTTAATCCAGCTGTCACCCACGTATGTTCATTTCTTCATCACACACCCATGCGCTAGGTGCTGGGATTTTGTTGGAAGGTTTGTTTTGTAAATTGTACTTGTGGGATTTTTTTGAAAGTCTGCGACTGGAGTGGTTGACCACTTCACTTTGAACAGGTTAGTGTAAGAATATTTGCTATGAAATACTAACCACTAAACCCATTTCTAAAAATTACAGCAAAGCAAATTTGTTGTATATTCCCTTTAAGTAACAGCTGTTAAATTGTTCTTATTCTTTAACTCTAACTCCCTCTGAGTGACTTTTAATAGGAACCGGACCAATTCCATCAAAATCCATCAATCACTGTGCGTCCAATACAAAACTGTACATGACATAATAGAATCCACCACTGACGCACTGGTTGACATGCATGGACTTGCTACACATGGCTTTATCCCAATAGCAGTACAGGAAGCTAGGCAAAATCAATCGGATACCCCTAGCACTGCT